GAATGACATTCGGAAGCAATTTTGAGGATAAGTTGGAACCTCATAGTTAAAGGATCAGAGACAGTATATTAAAGAAAATGTTTCTCATTGAATGAATGATCTACACCGATGATACATGTATATATAATACAATTGGAGAAAGAGGTAATCCTGACTAACTGACTAACTCATGCTAAATACAATAATAAACACATGTGAGATAAATATCACTAAGAGATAACTATGACTTCAACACGCCCCCGCAAACGGAAGTTGGAGTTGGAAGAAGACGAAGTTTGTCCGAAAAATGCCGAAATAAACCCTTGGATAACGGCTTGGTGAGAATGTCGGACAATTGATCCGCAGCTGAGATCGAATGGATGGTGACAAACTTGTTTTGTATGTGTTGTCGAACAAAATGGAAGTCGACTTCCACATGGCGAGTCCGAGCTCGATAAACAGGATTGGAGGCAAGGAATACAGTGCCATGATTGTCACACCAGATTGAAGGTGGGTGTTTCAGAGACACCCCGAGTTCGGATAAAAGATGACATATCCAGTGAAGTTCGACACAAACGTTTGCAATGGATCGAAATTCAGCTTCTGTCGATGATCGTGCAACCGTCATTTGCTTCCGAGAGTGCCAAGCGATGAGATTAGGGTCAAGATAAATCAAGAAACCTGATGTAGAACACCGATCGTCAGGGCAACCGGCCCAATTCGCGTCTGTAAAGGCTGAAATGGAACGTAAATCTGAGGGTTTAATAAACAAACCACGGGGGTGCTTGTTTAAGTCCATAAAGAGACTTATTAAGTTTACAGACGTAGTGAGGCCGCTTGGGATCAACAAAGCCTTGCGGTTGAACCATATATACTGTCTCATTCAAAGTGCCATTAAGGAAAGCGTTGCTCACATCAAGTTGGGAAACCGGCCAGTTGGAAGAAACCGCAATCGCAAGTACAGTGCGGATGGTGATAGGCTTGATGACTGGACTAAAGGTGTCAGTGTAGTCAATTCCATAAGCCTGAGTAAGCCCGTGGGCCACAAGTCGAGCCTTGTACCGCTCAATCGTCCCATCAGCATGCGTTTTGATCTTATAAAGCCAACGATTACCAATGACATTGCTAGAAGAAGGAGGTGGAACCAATGTCCAGCTATTGTTTCTGAGAAGAGCGTCAAACTCTTGTTTCATGGCGATTTGCCAGGGAGGAAGTAATTTGGCTTGGGAGAACGAAGTGGGGGTTAAAGGGACAGAGGCAGTGAGAAAGAAGCATTGGCGAATTTAGTTTTGGAGAGAGTGGTTGGTCGCAAAGTCATAGGATGAGTACGAGGCGGAGGAGTAGGCTGATCTAGGTCGACAACAAGCTTGAGGCTAGGAGAAGAAGAGGGATCGTTGATTAAGGTTTTGGAGTGAGGGGGGAAAGGAGAAGAAGACGGAGTGGAATGTGGATCAGGTAAAGTGGTAGCGTTCTCAAGATCAGAAGATCGCAATTGAGAAGGAGGAGAAGAAGGAGACAAGCGTTGATCAGGAAAGGGAGATAAAACAGGACTAGATGATGATAAAGAAGTAGTGACCGACAGGGAAGGAGAGTTAGGATTTGACGGGAGTGGAGAAGAAGTAGGAGGCTTGGGAGTATTTGAGTGCGAGGAAATTGGGCGAGAAAGTTGCAACCAAGGAGAGGATGGGTGTGTAGCAGGCGGCGATGGCGGAGAATTTATAGAAGTAGAATTTTTAAATGGAAAACATGACTCATCAAATTGAACATGTCGAGCGACATATATTTTATTTGTAGAAAGATCGATAACCTAAATGAAGAGGAGAGTATCCGAGAAAAAACACATTGTGTTGATCGGAAAGAAAATTTATGTTTGTTGTATGGACGAAGCAATGGATATATTGCACATCCGAAAACCTTTAAAAAAGTGTAATCTTGATTTTTTTTATAAAGAACAGTGAATGGAATTTTTCCTTCAAGAGAAGTGGATGGATGTCTATTGATTAAAAACACAGAGGTTTCAAATACAAATTCCCAATATTTAAACGGGGAACCACAATGACCATGAAGTGCAAGACCGGTATCGACTATATGACGTATTTTCCTTTCGGCTGTACCATTTTGCTCGTGAGTGTGTGCACAGGCAACACGATGAAGGATTCTGACCTCTTTAAAAAAAGTATGAAGGGAACGATATTCCCCTCTCCAGCCGGAATTGACACTTTTAATGGTAGTTTGGAATTGATTTTCAACAAGTGTCTTGAACTGTTTGAATATAGGAAGAACGTCACTTTTATTTTTAATGGGATAAAGCCAGGTAAAGAGGGAGAAATCATCAATAAATAAAACAAAATAGCGATAACCATTCATTGAAAGAAGGGGAGCAAGGCCCCAAACATCTGTATGAATCAAATCTAAAGGTTTACGACTACGATGAAAAGTAGAATGCAAACTGACTCGATGAGACTTTCCTAAACAACAGGCTTCACACTTGTCAGTGGAGGTAGATTTAGGAGAATACGGAAGTTGGAATTGACTAACTAAAGACTTTAAAGTTTTATTATGAGGGTGCCCTAAACGGGCATGCCATCGACCTAACGAAGCTAAGTATGCCGCTGCTGCTGGAAAAGAAGAGTGGTTGCGATGCCCTAGATCCAACCGATAGAGGCCAGATTCAGTCCGCCCAAGGAGTAGAGTCATTCTGTTGGAAAGATCCTTTACACAACAAAAGTAAGGATGAAATTCAAAGAAACAATTATTATCACGACAGAATTGTTGAATAGAGAGTAAGGGCTTTGTAAGAGTCGGAACATGAAGAATATTTTGTAAATAGAGAGGTTTAGAGTTAGAGGGAATAATGGAACGACCAACATGTTTAATAGGAAGAGTTTGACCATTTCCAACAGTGAGATGATCGGTACCTTGGTAATCGTTAGCAGTGCTGAGAGATGTAAGGTCAGAAGTGGCATGATGAGTTGCCCCAGTGTTGGGATACCACGGAGAAGGAGTGTTGTATGCTGCAAGGTTAGCATGAACAAAAGGAGTAGGCAGGAGACCATCATTGGACGCCTGGGAAGGAGCAAAGCGGGGAATAAAAGTAGTATCAAACCGGCGTCGACAAGTAGCGACGGTATGATTGGCATAGCCACAAAGTTGACATATAGAACCAGGAGATAGGAGAGGACCATAATAGAAGCCCGGGCGACCACCACGACCGCCTTTGTTACCGCGACCATGCCCACGAGACTTACCACGGCAATCGCCACGCACAGATTTAGAGTCACCAGATTGAGCCAAATTAGCAACAGGAGGAAGCGCCGGTTGTTGTGCCTTCAACAATAACTCATAAGACACAAGTTGACCATGAAGGTCCTGAAATGGCGCTGCTGTAATGCGCCAATAATTCCATTATAATCGGAACCAAGTTTCCGAAAAATAATTGCATTGAACTCGGCAGAAGAGATGACGTGACCAGCCATAGCCAAAGAGTCAGCAATTGATTTAGCCTTATGAAGAAAGGTGGAAACCGACATATCATCCTTGGATAAATTATGAAGCTCGAGAATGAGCTGAGTTTGTTGGGCATAAGAGAGAGCCCCATAACTGTCGGCCAGTGTTTTCCAAGCCTGAGCGGACGTAGAGACACCCTGGAGAAGAGGGTAGATATTTTCAGCAATGGATGATAAAATCCAAGAGAACAAAAGCTGGTCCTTTTGATGCCATTGAGTGAAGGCCGGATTGGGCTCCATGGCAGAAGAGCTAGAGTTTGGAAGCATTGGTAGTGGAGAAGCTTCAGTACCGTCAATAATAGAAGATAAATTGAGCATATTGAGCAGCGGGGTAAATTGCAATTTCCAGGCCGTATAATTTTCACGGGATTGCAACTTAATAGAGAAAGATTGGTTGAAGGAGGACAAGTTGGGAGAGAATGAAAAGAGGGGCATGGAAGGAGAGCCAGTAGAAGTAGCATTGGACGAAATTTCGTTCGTCATGATGCACAGGAAGAACCAGGAAAGAAAAGAAAAAAAAAGAATGGTCTGCTACCAAGTTAAAGGATCAAAGACAGTATATTAAAGAAAATGTTTCTCATTGAATGAATGATCTACACAGATGATACATGTATATATAACTCAATTGGAGAAAGAGATAATCCTGACTAAGTGACTAACTCATCATACAATAATAAACACATGTGAGATAAATATCACCAAGAGATAACTATGACTTCAACACTCATAACCCTGACTTCGTGGATCTCCTTCTCATACTGTTTCTTATAGCTTCACATCCTTCTTAATCCTACCAGTTGCGCACCAGTAATAAACATCAGACCCAGATTCATCCTTCCGTTCGCCCGGAACATAATACTTAAGTCTAGAATCCTCCTCCGCCGCCTCCTTGTCCATCTCATCATCTACTTCGTTGCTACTATCATCGTAATCGTCAACCTCCAATTTCGGTGCCTTGTTTCTTCACATAACCACATAATGAAGATCCACACAGTATACTTTAAGTTCAGAAGAAAAGGATTAATTAGCGATGGCCTTGGCCATAGTTAGTTCCACCATCGATCAACGTCCACCACTGAATTCAGCCCCAAGAAAGTACTTCGTTGGGTTTAGGAAATAAACTAATTAAGCAATTGCCTAATTGTAAAGTTTATGTTTTCCGAAACCAAATTGGATTGTAAACCGACCTAAGGTGGCTCTATTTGCCTATAAATAAGAACATAGGGTGCAACATGATTCTCATATACTTGCTCAATCCTTCTTCTCGGAACCCTTCATCCCTTCTTTGTTAGCTTAATAAATCTGCGCCGACCTGACGCTGGCTCAATTTGCTTATAAATAAGAACATAGGGTGCACTTTTGGTTCTAATATACTTCCCCAATCCGTCTTCTTTGGAACCCTTGATGCCTTCTTTCTTAGCTTAATATATCTGCGCCTGCTTTTTTTTATCTTTGACAAAAGTTTTGAAGCTCCGCTTTTTTTTATCTTTGTCAAAAGTTCCGAAGCTCTTGGCAATGGATTACTTTGCTAATTATGAAGTAGTAGTAGAGGGTGAAGAAGGGGAAGGAATACAAGAAGAATTCACACATCCTCAGTGGCACATGACATCAACGGATTCCATGATTAATGATGAAATTACAGAGTTGCTCAATCGGCTTCCACGTATTAAACTCCGTCCAGATCATGCACTTACACAAGATGCGAACGAGGAGCAAGAAGAGTCCACCGCGTTGACGCCGCTTCAAGACTTCTACTATGAAAGAGACATCGGAGGTCACTTTATTTCGGAATCAACTCCTGAGTATTCCATATCATCTGATCATTATGGATTCCTTACTGAAGTTGCATCGTCTTCACCTGATCTCGAGCAAATCATTTTCCAATTGCGAGATGCACTCTTTCCAACGGCTACTGAGGATGAACTAGAGTATCTACTACAAGATGTCTTTCCCACCTCCGCCGGAGCTGCTGATGATGAGGTTTTCTATAATAAAGAATCTGGATTGTGCGAAGATGTTGTTCTGCAGAATCTGCTACCACGAGCAAGCCTACAAGAAGATGCGGAAGAGATTTGTTCAATATGTCTTGAAAACTACGGAGCACAAGAAGTGATTGGGAAACTACGTTGCGGACATGAACACCATCTAGATTGTATCAAGAACTGGATTTTAGTGGATAACTCGTGCCCTCTTTGCAAGACCCAAGCTGTCTCGATGCCTAAGTAAAAAAAGGTGATGTTTCGTGTCTCTCAAACTAGTTTCATTTCGGGAAGGAAATTTTATAGACTTTTAATCGTGTCGTAACATAGCACCGTTATAGGGGAACACACTACTTCATCAAGTATAATTGTGTTTATTAATTATGACTTCATACCTCTGAAAGTATTGTGAGCCTTATCCCAACTCATACTTGAAGCTGACAGCCAAAATATCACATCTGAAAATCTTTCGTTATGATATGGGCAAAATAGAGCTATAATACAAGGAAAATAATACCTTAGCTCAAGTACCAAAAAGGAGAAGGCGGGTAACCATAGAGAAAATAAAAGTACCAACAATTATGGTTGGACGACCTTGGCACCCAAAAAAGGTTTCAAAAAATAGGTCCAAAAAAGATGTCCCAGTGAGGAGCTAAAATAGGATGTGATATTGTAACTGTTTGTCAAAGAAAAAAGTTGTGGATAAGGGGGATTTGCTAAAGAGTGTAGAAAATAAGTCTGGGCTGTAATGTGAAACACAAGTACTTATTTGAATAGAGTGGTACCCTAAAGCACACACTCACACGACATGGTTAGGGTAAATAATGAGTACTGGTCCGTTACCAACAAAATGAGAGCACGAGATAGAACCCAATATACTTCAAGAGATGGCTTGGTTTTTGCAATATTGCTACGAGCATTAGTTCATAGATGTTTAGGGCATAAATTCTTCTAGATGAAACAATGTTATAATGTATAAATTTCATATATTTTGCATTATATTATTGATTTAGTTAATTGTATACGGAGATCGACCATTTGTAACAAGTTTATAAGTCATTCAAAATGTTTAGAAGACGAAGAAGGAAAGCTTATGATGATCACTTTTCCTCCATTGTTCTTGTTGGATGCATTCCTTACATTTATTTGAGTATTTTTAAACATTCTTAATCACTCCAATCACACAATATTCACAACCTCGTTTGTTTTTATCTAATTCATTTCCATTAGAATAAGACTGACAATGGCGATTGAAATCTATTATATATCTAATATGATCAATTAGTGTGCATGCCAGGGTTTTGATAATATTTTTTTAATAATGTTTTGTGTGAATGTGAAGATGATAATGGCTATCGTAAAACACATTTTTAACAATTGCTATATGTCCAATGAAAAAAAGAAGGGAGAATTATTTTTTTCACTCATCATGATAACTTTTGCCGTACATTTCAAAATTATCTCCTCCCAAATATCATTAAACATAAAAAAAAGACAAAACGCACTTTGGTCCTTAAACTATGGGGGTCACAACTTCTGGTCATCATTAATTCTTTACTGACAAAATTAGTCACCATTTTTTCGTTTATTCAACAATTTTAGTCAATTTAAAGGTCAACTAACGGTCAACTCTTTTCTCCGTTAAATTTTTTAATCAATTTTTCTTAATTTTTTATTAAATTGGGACCCACAACGTATTTTCAAACAAGAAAATCAGTCTCCTAATATAATTTTTTTTCAATAATTTTAGTCACTTTAATAGAATTTTTAAAAATTTAATGGCCCAATTTAATTTTCCTCTAAGTCTTTAATTTTTATTGATTACTTAATGGATCGTGGGTTCCACATGTCCTTGATCAGAATTTTTTTAAGGAAAACAAATTAAACGAATAATAAAAATATTTCCAACCAACTTCTTAAACCTCAAATATTCTGCTACTCGAGAAATAAATTCCAAAAAACAATCCGACAACGAAAACGATCAATAATGAGGTTCCTTTTCTGTGCTACTTTACCTGCAGAGAGGTGATGGTAAGACGTTCGGTAGCAGTATATTGGGGTTTAGAAATTTGATCGAAAATTCTTTCATTATTATTTTAATTTATTTTTTAAAAAAACAATCTGATCAAGACTTGTGGGACTCACAATCTATTAAGTAATCAATAAAAAATAAAGATTTAAAATAAAAATTGAATTGGGCCATAAAATTTTGAAAATTCTGTTAAGTGACTAAAATGGTTGAAGAAAAAGATATTAGGGGATTGATTTTGTTATTTGAAAATACATTGCAGGTCTCAGTTCAATAAAAAATTAAGAAAAATTAAAAAACTTAACAGAGAAAAGAATTGACCGTTAATTGACAAGTCGAATAGAAGCCTCTGAAAAGAGGATCAACAGCTTTGGTGGTCGGCAAAAGGAATTTGTGGGCGTGGGGCTTTTGGTGGAAGAAAAAATCGGTGATGATGGTGCGTTGATGAGTGGATGATGGAGAAGCTGCTGATGATGGAAGTTCTGATGCCGGCTAGTGATGTGATGAAGGAGGCTGGTGGTATTTGTTTTCGGCGGCTGCTTTCGTTCAAGTTCCGTTCCAAAAATAAAACTCAAATCTTTCTTTTATAGGCTTTCACCCGGTTCTATTATTTTAATTAAATTTTATTTCAGCCTCAAAATTTTATTAAATTTGGCAAGCAGCCTTAAAATTTGACAAGCGTCATATTTGTCGTTAAAATTTGACAAGTAGTTTATATAACTCTCAATTTGACCGTACGTTATCACTTTCATTTAGTACTTGAAACATAAACTTAAAATTCGTTTTAAAAAAAGTTAATTACAAGCATAATTACTTTTATATAATCAACATCTCATAAATGAAACTTATCTCATTTTTTAAATTTTGATTTCATTAATTCAATGGGAAGATCCTCCTCTTTGATCCAATCTCTTCTCAACAAAAACATAAGCATTATAAAGTTTCAAAAATTAGTGGACAAATAATTCTAAAATAGGATAACTAAATCAAAATTAACCATCAAATCTATATTAATAAAACCAAAGGCTTATACTTATATACGTATACACAATTAAAAAAAAAAAGAATCTCCTAGCCAAACCGGGATACAAAGTTGACAAGCAGTCGTCACACTAGTCAAATATTAATTAACTATTTAATACAATTACTAGTAGTAAAGTAGCAAGCAGGATCGATCCCACAGAGAAGGATACCAAGTACCAGGTTAAAATTATTTCTTATTATAATTTAGATTAACAATTTATAGATTTTAAACTCTAAACCTAAAACTAACAATTGTAATTATTTAAAGATATAAATAAGTAAAAGAAAAACTTAGGGCAAAGGGTTCACCAACCGACTATTCAGTTTAACTCAACCTATAGATATGTGACTTTGGACTTTCATTAATCTCATAACAATTCACCTATTTAAGAACTATTCACTGTCGTGATATAATTCTCTTACTCAAACTAACCCTATGACTACTGTCGTGACTATAGGATTTAATTAGAGTACATTAAGAACCCTAGAATCTATAGCTGCAAAGACGGTGTTCCTACTTTCGTGGCCCACTATCTAAGTTTAATATTCCCACGAACTAGTGCTAACCTTCAACCGTCGTTCCTTCAGTTAAATACCTTTAAAGCATGTAAGTGGTGATCAAATACTCACATGGAATAAAAAATAAGAAGATCAATATCAACTAATGAAAAAGTCACAATCATATTAAATTAAATTCAATTAAATAGTACGGCGGCTACATTCAAAACCCTAGATTAAATAATCAAGTTACACATCATCTCAAAAATAAATAAAACAATGAAACCCGAGAGAAGTAGGCCAAAAGTTGAGATTGAAGTTGATGAATAGCTGCTTACTTCCTCCTCCGATGATGTGTAGGTTTAATATGGAGATTATGGTGTGGTGGTCGCGTGAAAGAGGCGTGGGTTTTGGTGGATGAAGGTGCTTTGCGTGGAGAGTTTGGGCGTTGATGATGATGATGAAGGTGATGGTGATGGTGTTGCATGGAGATGATGATAGTGCGGCTGGTGTGCATAGGTGATGGGGTGGCGGAGGAGTTGGGCTTTAGGCGTGGGTTTTTAGGGGTGATTAAGGTGGTGGAAAGGGAGGTAGGTTCGGCGGAGGAATTGGGGGAGAGACGTGATGGTGTGAAGGTTTAGAGGGGTTGGGGGGGGGGGCTTTAGCCGTGAGAAGGGGCTGGTGGAAGGGGGTTATGGAATTGGTAAAAAAATAAAACCCTAATCCTTTTTTTTATAGGTTTTCCTCAAACACTATTTCTCCAGGAATAAGAAAGTTATTTTTTTCCAAGCCAATTTAAATTAAAACTCCTCAAACTCTTCCATTCTTCCTTGTCAATTTATCAAATCTTCAATTCTCCCTTTGAGTTGCTTTTATCTTCATTTTAGCCCAAAATTTCAACAATTCCTTCATTTGAGTACAATTCCTACAATTAAAGATAAAAGCCTATAAATAGCATATTTTTACTGAAAATATATTGCAAAAATCATAAATTAGGGATATAATAAATAGGTAAAATATAAGCATATCAAATACCCTCAAACTTGAATTATTGCTTGTCCTCAAGCATGCACATGAATTAAAACAAATAAATGCAGTTAATTATTTAATTTTGGCGGCCTCAGAGATTTAATATCATATTACACAAAGACCTAGACTACCTCTAGTATGTACTAGCTAACAAAATTTAAACCATATGCACTTTTAGCCCCCACGCTTGTGTGTGTGTGTGTGCGATCCGTTTCTCAGGGACATCACTTTACATTTAACATAGAAAACAAAAGCTCTGCTGCAAATATGCCATATATTAACACTTTAACACAAATTCACATTTGATACCATATTTCAATGCAATGTACCGTCAAACATACTATGAAGTAGAAGGACTTATCTCACAGACAACCTATTCCCCCTCGTAACCGATTCTTCGGTCCATGCGGCTTTTCTTCAGGACTCTTTCCAACTCAGGCCACTACCCAGAGTATTTTTCCACTCCTATACATAGTGGCTCAACAACTTAGGGCAGTCTATATATCTATTTTTTCTTACCGGGCCTGAGAACTCTCCGCTCAGGTTGCCAATTCCTCATCTCTTAATGGGCTAGCATCAACATTGAATGCTCTTCCTTTTCTCCCTCATTAAAATTAACCTAACCTCGGAAGCATCCGCCAACACCCCTCCCATAAACTTACTTAACA